ATTAACAATCATTTAGTCACTCAGGCAGTTGGCTCTATCTTCTAAGACAAACCAATATAATTTTTTCAAGAAAAACTATGATAGCTTTCTTAACCTTGCCATTTATCAAAACCAAACTCTCTCTTCTCTTGGGTTTTAGACATTTGTGCATTACACTTATTGTGTATTTCTCAGTAAATGTAACCCAAATATCAATGGCCTTATGTGTTTATTCCTGACTTTACTCTTGAGATTCTGGACAAGAGAGACCTTCCACAGATCTGGGGTACCTCTTTTCAGTGTAATGTGTGTTTCTCTACTCCAGATTTTTAAAAATTGCTTACTAGAAATGAAATAATTATGTCAAGCATTGAAAGAAACACTATTGAAACTTTATAGTTATTGGAACTTTTAAAGTATTCTAAATATTTCCTTCAAACAATAAATGCTGACCTCTAAAAAAAATCAGTACAATGGCTTCCTGATATGGACAGCTTCCTACTTCATAAGGTATTCATTATCATCTCATTCAAATTCTGCAGTTCAAAGAATTTCTTTTAAAAGCAAGAACAAAAAATAATTTAGTAAAAGTTAAAAATTATTCCTGAATCTCACTTCAGTATAGTTAGATTTTGCAGCACAATAAGGTTCTAATCACACCCTGATTGGTACAGATTTATGCAAAGAGTTTATACAAGAATTAATGGACATTAAGAAAATCACTGCATGCATACTGATATGTGATTATGCCTGAAGACATGTAGAGCCACCCACAGCTGGAAACATGCTAAAATAATAAGGCTACAGTCAGAAATGCTGTTTTAATTATGAATTTCTTTTCTATTTCTAGATAGTACTGATCTTCACTTGTATTAGAGATACATTATTTTTATTTAAATTTTTGTTCCTTACAACTCCTATATGTAGAAAATTTTTTTAAAAAATCACTGACATATATCCATAAAATTACTAAGCAGAGTTTTTATTTTCAGGTCAAAGAGAAAAAATAATAATAAAGTCACAAACGAATGTATGAACTTAATTAAATTACATAAATGAGATTTAAAATATGTTTGTGTGATACAAGTATTGTTATAATGAATATAAGAAGGATAAAAGACATACTTAGAGGCCACCCAAAAGAACCACACTGTCCTAGCATTCATCTCTTAGCTTTGAGATAATCTCTGAATTATGAAGGAAGGAAATTATTATTTATTGAGCAGGCACCTAGTCAGTTATATATTAATGCACACTTTACCTAACTTACTTTTCAGTGTACAACTTCTTTTTCTTTTATGAAATGGAACCAATATTACTGGAAATATTGGTTCCATTTCATAAAGGAAAAAGAAGTTTATATAAAGGCCTTGTGATGGTTTTAAAATATCGTGAAATCCATTGCAAAGGTGAGGTTTAATTCTCTTCTCCTTAAGTGTGGGTAGATTTAGTGACTTAGAATATGGCAGAAGTATCAGTTTGTGTCTCCTGAAACTGGATCATAAAAGACAGCCTTCCTACTTGTACTCTGTCTTTCTTGGATGGCTCATTCTGAGGAACACTAACTGCCATGTCATGAAAATACTCAAGCAGCCTGTATTAATCAGCTCGGTCTCTCACACCACAGGCTGTGTGACTTAAATAACAGAAATTGGTTTTTCACAGTTCTGGAGACTGGAAAGTTCAAGAGCAAGGTGCTAACCTATCAGTTCCCGGTGAGAGGTCTTTTCCTGGCTTACAGACAGCCACCTTCTTGCTAGGTCCCCTCATGGCAAAAAGACAGAACTCTGGTGTCTCTTCATCTTTTTATAAGAGCATCGGCCTGATCATATTAGGGACCCATCCTTAAGACTTCATTTAACCTTTGTCACCTCCTCACAGGCCCTGTCTCTAAACAGAGTCACATTTGGGGCTAGTATTTCAACATATAAATTTAAAGGGGACACAAAGATGCAGTCTATAACACAGCCCTGTGGAAAGGTTAATGTGGTAAGAAACTAAGGCCCCCTGCCAAGAGCTACGGGAGTGAACTGGCTTGCAGGCAGTTCTTCTAGCTCCAGTCAAGCCTTCAGATTACTGTACCCCTGGTCACTATCTCGAATGCAACCTCATAAGAAATCCTGAGGCAGAGTCACTCAGCTAAGCTGATCCTATATATCTTACTCTAAGTAAATATCTTACAATGTGAGAAAATACTTAGAGTAAGATATTGGCTTTTAAATAAATATTGGAGAAGCAGTGTGGGTAGTGGAAAGAGCATATACACTTCAACAGTTAGAAAAATCTGGCTTCTAATTCCTGTTTTACCACTTACTATCTATTGCTGCCAAATTCTCCCCCCAAATAGTAACTTAAACAATAAGTATTTAAAAGCGCATTCATTTACTGTGAGAGTTCACACATACTAGCTCAGTTAATCCTTATAACAACTTTGAGATAATGTTTTATAATACTACACACAAAATATATTTTTGTAATTAAAAATAATTTTTAAATAAAATAAATTACTTTGACATTATGAAATTGGTTGTACCTCCCAAGAATGCTCCAATCAATCTACTTCTCTCCATCTCCACTATGACTACCCAGATCTATATGCCACATCATCTGTAGCCTGGATGACCTCAGTGGCCTAACTAGTTCCTTGCTTTTATAGTTTTCTTCCCCATAGCAGGAGGAGTGAATTTTAAAGATGTAAATCAAACTACAATAATCTGCTACTTAAAACCTTTCCATGACTTCATGTGATTCTTTTTGCTGGTTACACTTAATATATCTAAATGACAGTGAATGGTACTAATCATGTGGTCACTTAATTGATGGCAATTCATTGCAACTACAATGTAATACATATGCATGATGTTTCTTCATTCATTTCCTTTCATTTCCCCACACTGGTCTTTTTTCTGTCCCATGAACCCATTCAATCCTCAATCTGGGCTCAGGATCTTTGCAACTTACAACCAAGAAAGAAGATGAGCTCAATGGAATAAAAGATGAGCTCATAAGTTTAAAAAGTAATTGACTAGCTAAAAGAGTATAAACACTAAGAAATAAAGACAGGATACTGAACATTTTAGACCATAGGTAAGAATATAAATAAAACTTATTGAACACTTAAATAAAATATTTCACACTTATTATAAAGATAGAAAAATCTATATTTATAAGTAACCTAAACAAATCGGAGTTTATTTGCATTCCTGATTCTCTAGCCAAATTACAATAACCACCAGTACCTAGGTCAATAAGTGAATTTGCCTCTCTGTTCTCTGTTCTGTATATCTATGCAGTAGAAATGAAAATAACTATAGTAGACTTACTTCCTTAGTTAGGCTTTAGGTTTTTATATTTCATAAGACAAAAAGTCAAATATGGTCAAAATTGCTATTGAAAGTCTCTTAAAAGACCCACACACAAAACCAATATACCATTTCTCAGTAAGTCAATCATATCTTTCCTTCCAGACATAGATTAAACCTTCTGGTTTAACATCCAATAAATGATGAACGTTTGAATCACAATTTCACATTATGATCTCATTCTATGAGAAGCATGAAAGAACTGAGAGCACCTGAGGAAGAACAACAGCTCACACCTTCCCTCTCACACTTACTTTGAGGTCGTAGACACACTGAATAGAATGATGAAATCACCTCTGTTATTTCTCTGTCTCTTCTCCCTCTCTCTTCTTAACCCCCTCATGTTAAGGTTGCTTAAATTGAGACAATAGTAACAGGCAGAAGCAGAGATAAATGGAAAACTCTCCAGCAATCATCCTCCCAAAAAGAACACCAAATTAAACAACTATCCATACAAGAAAGCAGCCTTCATAAGAACCAAAAATCAGATGAGCAATCAGAGCACCTGGTTTAAACATCATATCAAGGAAAGAGACACTGAAAGAGGGTAGGAAAGGCAGTCTTGAATTGCCGACATCACTTCTCCCCAGTCCTGCAATGGTGACCCCATGGTGTGGAGACAGAATCTGTGTGCTTGAGGAAGGGAGAGTGTAGTGATTACGGGACTTTGCATTGGAACTCAGTACTGCCCTGTCAGCAGAAATCAACATGGGGCAGAATTCAGCCAGTGCCCACAGAGGGAGCATTTAGACCAGCCATAGACTGAGAGGAATCATCCACTCCAGTGGTTGGAACCTGAGTTTTGGCAAGCGCCCTCACATAGGCTAAAGTGCTCTGGGGTCCTAAATAAATTTGAAGGGCATCCCATGCCACAAGGACTGCAATTCCTGGGCAAGTCTTGGTGCTGTGCTGGGCTCAGAGCCAGTAGACTTGGGTGCACAACCTAGTGAGACACCAGCCAGGACAGCAAGGGAGTGCTTGCATCACTCCTCCTTTAATCCCAGGTAGCAGCTCTGGGAGAGACTTCATTCTCCTTGAGGAAAGTACAGAGGACTTTGTCTTGCAACTTGGATACCAGCTCAGTCATGGTAGAATGGGGCACTAGGCAGAGTCCTGAGGCCCCCTTTCTAGGCCTACCAGCCAGGAAACATTTCTAGACACAGCCTGGGACAAGAGGGAACCTGCTGCCTTGAAGGAAAAGACCCAGTTTTGGCAGGATTTATCACCTGCTGACTGAAGAGCCACACCCCAGCCCAGGGCCTTGCATAAACACCAGTGGTACCCAGGGAATGGTCACACGGGCCTTGGATGAGACCCAGGCCCGTGCTGGCTTCACAGGTGACCCAGTGTATTCCCGGCTGTAATGGCCACAAGGAGAGGTTCCTTCTGCTTGAGGAAAGGAGAGGGAAAAATAAAGGGGACGTTATCTTGCAGCTTAGGCACCAGCTCAGCCAGAGGGGGTTAGAAAATTAAGCACGGTTCTGAAGTCCTTAATTGCATACCTTAGCTCCTGTATGGCATTTATGGACCCAGCCTGGGCCACAGGAGAGCTTGCTTCCCTGAAGAGAAAGACTCATGCCTGGAAGAATTCACCACAAGCTGACTGAAAAGCCCTTGGACCTTGAGTGAACATCAGTGGAGCCCAAACAGTACTCACCATAGGTGTCACGTGGTGGTGGCCACAGGGAGAGACTTCTTCTGCATGAGGAAAGGAAAGATAAGAGTGAGAAGGACTTTCTCTTGGGGCTTGGGTGCCAGGTCAGCTGCAGTTTTAGAGTAGCAAGCAAATTCCTAAGGTTTCCAACTCCAGGCCCTGGCTCCTGGATGACATTCGTGGACCTGCCCTGGGCCGGGGTGTGGCTCACTGCCCTGAAGGGAAGGGCATCATAAGCCTGACTGAATTCATCACCTGCTCTCTGAAGAGCTCTTGGACGTTGGGACAGGCAGTGGTCACTGTGGGACTCAGGCGAGACCCAGCATTGTACTGATTTCAGGTCTTACCCGGTATAGTCCTGGTGGTAGTGGCCAGAGGGGTGCTTGTGTAATCCTTCCCCAAGTTCCAGGCAGCTCAGCACAAAGAGAGAGATTCCAGTATTCTGGAGGAAAATAAGGGAAGAGAACAACAGTCTCTGCCTGGTAATCCGAGAAATTTTCTTGGATCTTACCCAGGTCCACCAAAGTAGTACCTCTTCAAGTCTGAAAGAGCTATAATGTTACTGGGCTCGCGGTGCCCACTAATGAATATATGGCCTCAGTGACCAATAATTTAGATCACAACACTCAATTCCTTTTGAAAACTCAGAAAGCCTTCCCAAGAAGTATAGATACAAACAAACTCACACTGGAAAGACCTACAATACTTAACTTTTAATGCCCAGACGTCAACAAACATCACAAGCATTAAGACCATCCAAGAAAACATGACTTCACCAAACAAACTAAATAAAGTACAATTACCAATCTCAAAGTTACAGAGGTAGGTGACCCTTCAGATAGAAAATTCAAACTAGCTGTTTTGCAGAAGCTCAATGAAACCACAAAAGACATAGAATAAGCAAATCTATGCTGAGCAAAAAGAACAAAACTGAAAGAATCACATTATCTGACCTCAAATTATATTACAGAGCTCTAGTAACCAAAACAGCATAGTCCTGGGATAAAAACAGACATATAGAAGAATAGAACAGAATAAGGAACCCAGAGATAAATCTGTACATTAACAGTGAACTCATTTTCAACAAAGGTGCCAAGAACATTGGGGAAAGAACAGTCTCTTCAATAAATGGTGCCAGGAAAACTGCATTTCCATATGCAGAAGAATGAAGCTAGATCCCTCTTTCTCACCATATACAAAAATCAAACCAAAATGGATTAAAGATTAAATCTAAGACCTCAAACTATGAAACTACTAAACAAAAACATTGAGGAAACTCCCCGGGACATTGGTCTGGGCAAAGATTTATCAAGTAATACCCCAAAGGCACAGGCAACCGAACCAAAAATGCACAAACGGGATCACATTAAGTCAAAAAGCTTCTGCACAGCAAAGGAAACAATCAACAATGTGAAGAGAAACCCCACAAATGGGGAGAAAATACTTGCAAACTATCCATCTGACAAGGAATTAATAACCAGAATATATAAGGAGCTTAAACAATTAAATAGGAAAAAATCTAATAATCTGATTTTAAAATGGGCAAAAGATCTGAATAGACATTTCTCAAAAGAAGATATACAAATAACAGACATATAAAAAGGTGGTCATCATCATCGATGATCAGAGAAATGCAAATCAAGACTACAATGAGATGTCATCTCACCTTAGTAAAAAATGGCTTATATACAAAAAAAGCAAGGCAATAACAAATGCTGGTGAGGAGGTGGAGGAAAGAGAACCCTCACGCACTGTTGAAGGGAATGTAAATTAGTACAACCACTATGGAGAACAGCATGGAGGTTCCTCAAAAAATTAAAAATAGAACTACCATACAATCCAGCAATCCACTGCTAGGTGTATTCCCAAAAGAAAGGACATCAGTATGTCAAAGCAATATCTGAACTCCTATGTTTACTGTAGCACTAGTCATGATAGCCAAGATTTGGAAGCAACCTAAGTGTCCATCAACAGATGAATGGATAAAGAAAATGTGGTACATGCAAACCACAGAGTACTATTCAGCCATATAAAAGAATGAGATCCTGTCATTTGCAGCAACATGGATGGAACTGGAGTCATTATATTAAGTGAAATAAGCCAGGCACAGAAAGACAAACATCGCACATTCTCACTTATTTGTGGAAGCTAAAAATTAAGACAATTGAACTAACGGAGATAGACAGTAGAAGGACGGTTACCAGAGGCTGGGAAGGATGGGGTAGGAGAAGGTGGGGATGGCTAATAGGTACAAAAATATAGTTAGATAGAATGACTAAGATCTAGCATTTATAGCACATCAGGGTGACTACAGTCAACAATAATGTATTGTACATTTTAAAATAATTAAAAGTATAATTGGATTGTTTATAACATAGAAAAATTATAAATGCTTGAGGTGATATATTCTACAAATTTTGCCTAAATTAAGTCCACAGATGATGTGACTCCAGAGCATTTATATAAGACCACTACCTGCCCCAGCTGAATGATAGCTGACGGGAGATGGGGGCAGACACCTTGTTCTTGCTTTTAGCCATATCTAGTCCCCACATGACTTACTCTAGGTTATAAAAGGTGACCACCGAATCAGGAAACACAAATACAGAATAAATGGTTTATTGGCAACTCATTATAATATACATTAAAATAATAATATCTGTATTTCCAAATGCTATGGTCACCCTGTACATAAAACAGTATGAACAATTATAGTCCCTATGCTCTGAGAGCCAATAAACTAAAATAAAAAATTGTTGCAGAGAAAAGCACAAAATTGGCAAGAAAATTTAGCCAAAATATGTCAAACTCATAGCTAAAAATTCAAAAGAAAAATGTATGTGTCAGCAAATATGTCCAGTTTTTCTTTAACTGGTAAGAAAGGGGATATTGTCATGACACACAATTTTGTCTCGGTTTCTATCCTTAAAATTGTTACTTTACACTTACACACCCAACCAATCAAGAAATTAGAAATATACATTTGAATTATTTACCCACCACTGAGTAGATTTTTGAACAAAGCCTTTTTGTTTTCTTTTCAATTTTTAATTGACAAATAACTATATATGCATTTATTGTGTACAACATATTTTGAAATATGTATATATGGTGGATTGGCTAAATTGAGCTAATGAACATTTGCATTATCTCACACAGTTATCACATTTGGGGTGAGAATACATAAAACCTACTCCCTTAGCATTTTTCAATACAATAAATCATACAAAACCTTTCTTTACAAACTCCAAGCCCATGCCTAAAAAGTAAAAGTTGGAAAAACTTTCTACCTGTTAGTTTTAGCAAACTTCACCTTCTCCTTGGAAGAAAAGCAAATACATGTTAAATGGAAGGTTGACAGGAAAACCTGCTGATTTCCAGGCAAACTGGATGTGTTGGGTTAGAAAAAAGAATGTTCTCATTGATTTAGATTGGACACCTGGTAAGCCCTTTAGAAGACTCTGTACCTGTCTCAGAAAAGAGCAATATAGGCCCAAAATGACCAACCAGATAGACAGAATCATGTTCATCCATTTTCTGCCAAGAGTTTTGTAAAAACTACAGGCATAAAAAATTAAAGGTTTTATTGCAGGACAGATGGGCATGCATGCTGGGAAGCCATATAGCTGGCCCACACAAAACGGATGAACAATCCCTGATTTTCATAACACTTCACTTGAAGACACAGCATATTTCCTGCCTGAGCAAAGAAGCCAAGAGAATAGGAAAGACTCCTTTCTAATATTTTTCCAGATAGTTAAAAGTGATTGTCTAGAGAATTTCCATTTGCAATTAGCTTGGCATGCCTTTTACCAGAATTCATTATTCCACTCAGCTTTAGAAGCCTGGGGGAGGTGGGGAAGAAAGGTTGTGTCCACATGGTCTTGATCTCTACTGTCTGTTAATCCTATCTAACTAGGGCAGTCGCTGAGTTACATGATTTCTTCTCTGGGGCTATTTATATTTAACACAAGATTCAAGAAATGGTCTCCAAACCCTAGTCTAGGAAACATTAAAAAGACAGATTCTTTTATATAATTTAGCAAGTTTGGATGGGAGGAGGTGTTGTTAGAAAACTGTATTTTCTCCAGTATTCCCAATAAACAGACTCCCATTTGGTAATCACTACTTACAAGATCAAAAAGTATTAGAACTCAGACTAATAAATCGCTAAAGTAGAATTTAATGCAAGAGCAATGGAAATAAACATTTTGGAAGGGAAATCATACACTAGCAGCTGCCTATTAACCTTTGCATAAATTTAACTGGGTTGAACGGTTTTAAGTTTTCATCTAGTCAATATCTGAATACAGAAAGTTTAGACTAAATGGCTCCCAACTTCACTTCAAGAACTGTATGCAGTGATGAGCTTGTAAATTAACCACATCTCCAGGAAAAGATGTATGCATATATATCTCTCATATACATATATATATACACACATGCACACATATGTTTATTAGAAATTCTGCTGATGTAAAACATGTAACCTACAATTCACAAAATAATAAATAGATAATATTCTTTATTGTAAACTTCATATACATTTAACTTCAGTGTGACTTGCTATTTCTTAAAAATCCAAAATCCACTATCAGTTTTTATAATTATATGCCAACAATAGTGTCACAAAATCAGACTATGAATATATGCTTGATTACTATCCAATTCAGCACAGAAATCACTCACATCATTAAGAAATGAGTGTAGTTATGACAAAATGTTGGTTGATAATTTTGTTTACATTAAGGAATAAGATGAAAGTGAAATAAGCCATGTGCTGGAAATTCACTCATTCGTCAATAAAGTGAGTGACTTCTTTGCTAAATTAGATAACAGTTTGTAAATACTGGCAGAAATGTCTTCATGTTTTTTATGCTATTCACAATATCATAGCCACAGACAGGACACACTTTAAGTTTATTCAGCATTTAACATTTTCTCCATCACTTCTAAAATGTAGGCAATCAACAAAACGTTAAATCAAGCCCTGATTTGCACCATTTGCTGATTGCTGTAATATAAAGACTCCCACCTGGCCGATTTTAAGTTTCCAACATGAAGTCTCTGAGGGCCAAGTTTGGAAGAGATGCAAAGAAGTGTCTCTTTCACCAGATAATTGATATATAACCTGAAGAGCAGAGATAATAGTTAAAAGTGATAAAAGAATTAGGAAGTAATAAATTTTGAATATTGAGTTATTTTATAGTAATATAAATTAATTGTGTTTATATAATTTAATTTTTAATAATGATTGTGTTGGCCAAGGGTGGTGGCTCACGCCTGTAATCCCAGCACTTTGGGAGGCTGAGGCAGGCAGATCACCAGAGGTCAGGAATTCGAGATCAGTCTGACCAACATGGAGAAACACCGTCTCTACTAAAAATATAAAATTAGCCGGGCGTGGTGGCGTGTGCCTGTAATCCCAGCTACTCGGGAGGCTGAGGCAGGAGAATCGCTTGAACCCAGGAGGCGGAGGTTACTATGAACTGAGATCACACCGTTGCACTCCAGCCTGGGCAACAAGAGGGAAATTCCATTTCAAAAAATAAATGAATATATATATATATATAAAAAAAATGATTGTGTTTAACAACTACTTCACAAAATTTCTGAAAATTTTACAGTTGACTCTCTCAAGCCAGTTAGCACCACTTAAAGCCATTGTTACATGTTTGCTTGCAAATATTCAGATGGGAAGAGGCAAGGCAAAATAGATAAGTTAGCCAATGCTATGGGTGCAGGTTAGGAGAGCAGGAGTATGTGGAATAAAAATGTAGAAAAAAATATTCTTACCTGTTTGCAACCTTAACTCCCAGAGATTACCATTTCAATGTTGTAATAGGAACTCACCAGCAGGATTCTCCACAGAAGAATGGATATCAACCAATGGATAGTGGACCTCTGTCTCTGGCCATGGCACCATCTCTCAAAGCAATGGTCCAGTGGTTTTCAATCCTGGTGATCATCAGAATCACCTATGTTGTTGTTGTTGTTGTTGTTGTTGCTGCTGTTGTTTTTAATGCAGGCATCAGGGTCACCTAAACCAGAATTTCCTAAGGTAAGTCCACTTTCCAATCTACTTTGAAAATTTAACCCAGAATGGTCACTGTTAATGGCATCTACTTTGGCTTAAGTTCATATTAGTGAGAGTCAATTTCTAAAAGTTCACCCTGAAACTAGGTAACTACTCACATCAATTTCAACAAGTATATAAAATAATTAATTTCTGTGTTTAAATGGGAAATTATATGCAGTGTGTTCTTTTTAGAATCAGCTATAATAAAATGAGACATTTCATTTATAAAATTTCTTAACAATGTTTTCTTCTAATAACCAGCCATAAATTCCCCATGAGTGAAAAGTTTATGTTCACAATATTATGTTGCCTTTCTGTATTTTCAAAATTGAAAGATGAAGAAGAAACAAACTTTGATCTGACTGACATTATGATGACAGGAACAGAGAGAGACATTTTTAGGACATATTTTCAAAACTGTGCACATGAAATGACATTTCAAGTTTGGGAAATCATATTACTTTAAATGGGATTTACATGGTTACATTCCAAACTACTTTGAAATGTTAACCTAGAATGTTCACTTTTGATGATGTCTATTTGATTTAAGCTCATGCTGGATAACTTAAAAGTTGCCATTTCCACACTCAAGTATTTCAAAATTTTGAAATAACCATCTAACATTTGGAAGGTTCTAATCAACTTTAACAAAAAATAATTGGCAAACTAGGTAAAAATTATTTTAAAAGCAAAATTCAAAACTATTTCCAAAAAATGTTTATATAATCAAAACAGTGTAAAAACAATATTTAAAAGGATTGCAATTCTGAAAGTGAATTTAGAAATATTAGTAATCACCTTATGTTCTAATGCTTAACATTAGAACAAAAGCATCATATCAGGCCATTTATTTTCACTGCCTAAATTGTTAACTTCGAATGTGGTCACATTTTAACCATTTTCCTAGATGACACTCTCTTTGGAGGTCAGCATTCTCATAACATATAAGCAGTTTTGCCAAAACCCCTCCCTGAGTCTGTATTTTTTCCATTTACATTTGTCTTCTCCTCCACACCTCACAATAGTAGTGTCAGTATTGGTAACAGTGTTCCCAAAAGCATGAATCATTTTGCATGATAATCACTTAAAGTTAGTAGTACAACTGCAAACCAATCTATGGGCCAGTTTAGGGTTCAATTATCCATGTGCCCCTAAATTAACACCAAATTTTACAGATTAATTCACCGTCAGGGTATAGGTAGAAAACTGTGAGTACAAACCATGAAATGTCTCTATCCACAGTGCTAGCTTTCCAATTCATTTCATCTTTGTTCATTTTTTTTCCGTGTTTATTGCTGACAAACTCTGCTAGTGTATATATTAGTCAGATACCACCTAATGTTCTTTGGCACTTATTACATTTCCCATTAAGCTAAAATCCTAAAATAGCTTTTTAAATACTGAATTTGTATCTCTGCCAATATGAAATTGTGAAACCTTCCTTATCCATTTATTGCATCAAATACTTGATTTCCCCAGATGCTAAATCATTAATCTTGTCTGGATGTATTTCAAGACCAAAGCTCCCATTTTAATAAATTTACATGACAACCAACAATAAATCTTCAGAGGCCCATCTTTCTGGCTCATGACCTGTCTAAATCCTCTACCTGAAGCTGATACCTACACTACTTCTAGATTTGGAAACAAAGAACATATTTAGGAGACTGCATTTAGACAGAGGCAGCAAGAAATCTTCCTTTTATGCATTTTTCTCCTTTCCAAGCACACGCAATAAATTTATACCTCTGCAGGTTAACAGAAAACATGGATGTTATTATACATACTGTTTTGTTCCCTCTGGCTGTCTTCAAAATATCTAAGACCAGGGCCTCAAAGAATTTTCTGTAACAGAACTCTGCTGCCACCAACTGAACACATTCACCCAATGCAAGTAGGTTTTGCTTTTTGGTTGGGTTTTTTTTTTTTCCACAAAATAGTGCTGAAAAAGCAGACGAAGGGAAGACACATATTCTCTTTGCCCATATCCCAAACCCTAGTCATAACTCCATTTTTAATCAGTAATACCATGTGAGCATTGAAAGAGGGCTGAGAATTCATATCTTGACATTAGCAATGGCAGCCCTCCCTTTGCAACTCTAAACCACTTTATGTTAATAGAAAACTCCTCCTTTATTTGTAAGCAAAGGGCACCTGTTTTATTCGTACGAACAAGCATAAATCAAAGACTTTGTGCCAGGAGTGGCAGGTCATGAAATGGTAATGTTGACCTGGCCGTTGAGCTGGACTAAGTGGAAGTCTTTGAATCAATAATGGTTACCAGGTCAGAAAAGCAAACTCCTCTAATCTCATTCTCACTGGCGAATTCTTGCAAAAAAATTCAAAGTAGTCTTCACAGGTGGCCCTAATTTCTTGTTCCCAAGCCAAATCCACTTTGATCTTTTAAAGGGGTAAGAGACTATTTAGTCAGTTTGTCTTAGACCTTTCCAACACATTAGAATCACCTAGTAAAATACAAACTTCAAGGCCCCTCCTCAGAACTCCCACTTAGCGCCTCTCAAAAGGGAATTTGGGCAACAGTGTATTTTTTTAGTCCACAGGAAATCCTGAAATACAGCCAGAGTTGAAGAGCTCTAGCTTAGGCCTATTCTCTCATTTCCTAAATGGGGGAACAGGTTCAGAAGAGTAAAAACAATCAACAAAAATGTATGCACACACCCTTAAGGAAAACCTTGAGGAGGCCTAGAACATTGGGTTTGGAGAGTGTGATGCCTGGCTTCACTAAGGAGGCTTATCCAAAAGGAAGCACATCCTAGCATGTTGATCTTTGCCATATTCCTTTGTTCTCTTGAACAATTCAACATAAGCAGGATAAAAATGCTTTAACAGTCAAAAAAAAAAAACACCACAGCCTTTGGAAGACAATAAGAAAAATACCTTCACTTTATTTTCATTTCATACCTGTCCCATTTAGCTTGAAATTTTTGCCCTCTTGAGCCTTATGAGTACTGAAAATATATTTACTGTGAGCCAAATATGACCTAATTTGTTAATTCCCATGACCCTGATATTTTCCTTTAACATAGACAGCCCAAATATGGAATGTTTTAAGTAAAATTAATATATATTTGAAGTTTTTTATTTATTCGACTTGTTCATAGTATGTAGAAGGAAACAATTTAACATACAGTATGCTGATATTTTTTTCTACAGTTTTCTAATTTTCTTACCACCGTCTCTGGAAGAATCATTTTAGATTACTTCTAGTGCCTTATGAAAAAGGTCTACCCACCATCACTACCCAAGAAAGCAAATTAATGCTTCATGTTTCTCCTACTTCTTGGACCTTCCCAACTCTACTAGCCCCTGGCTCATCCAAACATAGCCCTAGCTCACCCAGCAGTAATTTTGCTGCAAGTCAAACCCTGATCCGTCTGCCTTTTTGCTTAGTAGTGTCTTTAACCCGCTCTCCTAGTGAGCACTCAAGAATCTTTGACATTAAATGGGTATTGCACTCCTACCTGATTGAAATGGCTTTGACCTTGACAATAAAAAGCTGATTTCACCCAATAGGGCTTCCTAATTTTGGAAATTCAATTCACACTGACTTTTCAGGGGTGAGGGGGAAGAGAAGCTAGCAAGACAGAGGTTGGTGGTGGAAGTAACTTGAGTCCAAGACAGAGAGTTATAACTCTATACATGACAAGACACCCACTAGAAACCTGCTGAGATGAAGAAATGGTACACCTTCTGGGAGTAGTTAGCCCAAAGTAATAAAGTGGTCAGGCAAACAAGTTTCTTTCAGCTACAAAGCCATCAGTAGTCAGGCAAACAAGTTTCTTTCAGCTACAAAGCCATCAGTAGTTGGAGCAGCATAGGGGCACAAGCAAGACTGCTTTGGTACCCACGTGGGAAAGTGTAAAGCTAAAAACGAGAGCATGTTTTCTTCCTGCTTGTTAACAATACAGAATGGAATTGGGAATTCTGAGGACACTGGAGAAAACAAATATGATTTTGACCCTTAAAGGACTTCAGAATATCAATGAAAGACAGGGAAATCCAATGAATATGGTTACCCAAATGCCAGAGGGCAGATCACAAGAAAGAGGTCAAATCAACAAAAAAAGAAGAAGAAAGAAAAAAAGAGAGAGAGAAAGAAACAAGAAAGGAAGGAAGGAAGGAAGGAATCTTTTCTTTCTTTCTCTTTCTTTTTCTTTCTTTTCTTTCTTTTTTCTTTTTTTTTTTCTTTTTTTTTTTCTTTCTCTCTCTCTCTTTCTTTCTTTTCTTTTTTCTTCTTTCTTTCCTTCTTCTTTCTCTTTTCTTCTTCCTTCCTTCCTTCCTTCCTTCCTTCCTTCCTTCCTTTCCTTCTTCCTTCCTTCCTTCCTTCCTTTCCTCTCATTCTTTCCTTCTCCTCCTTCCTCCTTCCTTCCTCTCTTCTCCTTCTTCTTCC